GAAACCACAAAGCAGTATTTCATTGCCAGCATCATCATGAAAACATGCTTTTACTTATTGCAGAATTTGTTCTTAAGTGCTGGCACCCGTGCTGATTTAAATAAGGTAATTAATTCCCAACTACTAACTAACATTAGCAACCCTCTTCTCATTAAACTTGATGCTGCTGATATCAGAGATATTCTGTAACATCCCAGTGTTCCATGAAAGGAGCTGCTGGTGACATGGCTCTGCAGGGAGATTGCTAAATATATTCCTTCCCAGCAAACAGGAATATATCTCTCTTTTATGGTAGAAACTAGGTAGCTGTGTGTCATCAGTACTTAGTATTTCTAGACTTTAAACCTGTCCTATTTTTGTGGAGAAAAAGTGGTCATACACTTAGATAGTGTAAATAATTACCTTTTCTTTCAAGCTCTGTGTTTGCAACCCATCCTCAGAGCCAAAACTAAGTGTTTCCACAGCTGTTGTTAGGAGTTCACCTGGGCAGGCTTGGGCCCATACATTTTTGATCTGGATGTACTAATTGCCTGGGCCATTAAGATAGTTTTCAAGCTAGTTTTTTACTTTAGCTCTCCAGCTTTCAGAAGAAAGGGGAAAATTTTATGTCTCTGTACCCTCACTGAAAATGGGAATAGAACACTCTTTTGTCTGCTTGGTATGGAAATCCCCAGGAACCGCTGTGTGTAGTCTACGTAAGAAACAACCTGGCTGAAGTTGCGGTCAGAGGCACTGATCTCACTGAGTGCAAATATCTCCTCATAGAGGACAGTGAATTGCAGCCACAGCCCCTCCTAAACAGACCTTCTGAGGAGTTACTGAACCTCTAAAACAGCCTGCTTGGAAAGAAGCAGTTTAATGTCCTCCTTTTACCCAAGGGGGAGGGGAAAATAGGTATTTTAAAAGCCAGATTTAGTGGAAACACCGTGCAGATTTTGCTGTGAAAAAAGAGGAAGCTTCTTGATCAGGCTCAGCAGAGGGTTTAACCCCAAGTTTTGTTCTGTTTCTGCAAAACCTTCCCAGCACCTGACCAGCACATGAAACTGAGTATGTCTGTGCCATTTGTACATGCAATAAATGAGGAGCTTTAAAAATTATCCCTAAGTTGTGCTTAATATTAAGCACTCTGAAGTTAAAAAAAAAATGCAAGGAATGCTGTTGGTTTTAATTTTCTCAACTTGTTTAAACAAACAAACAAGTGTTACACTTGCAAGTTCTCTTGATGATCAGCAGAGCAATGTATTTGTAAGGAAAACAGAGATCCTTAGTTTTGCAAGGATATGAGCATGAGAGAAATCACAAGTTATCTCACGATGCATGCTGGTGTTGCAAGAACTGACTGCACTGTCTCTGCTTTTGTTTGAAAGGAATTAACTGTGGATGGCACTGTGTGAGGACACAAATAAGGAACCAGCTTGGCAGAAATTTAGCAAGAAGATTTGTATTGTTTCATATTCTTCTGCTTCCGCCATCGGGGCAACAAAAAAGATGCTGTTGTCAGTGAGACTCACTTCACAAATGGCATGTGACAGAAAATCAACGAACAGGATGAGCAGCCACTCATGTTCTGGTCTGGAGATTTATCTGCCCTGGGGTCTTTTAGTTCAGTGAAACTGTGTGAAGTGGTGGGTTAAATGATACTTACTACTTCGCTTCTAGGGAGAATTAAACTAAATCTGGTTAAAGCCACTTAAATCCTGTATATGAGGGCCCAGATTCATGAAGGAGAGACCAAAGGATATGAAGATCTTTTGCATCAGAGGCTTTGCCCATGGGCATGCCTTTACCCTACTGCAGTTATGTAGCTCTCCAACAAAGAACCAGCTTGCATTACACCAAGGGCCAGACTAGCTTGAGTTAGGGATAATTGCCATGGATCCACTGTCAGGCAGCCATTTAGCAGCCCAGAGTAACCTGTACTTGAGCCTAGAGACTATGCCTGTGCTGTCACACCTGTGCTTTCTTTAGCAGGGACCCTAGGATTTAGCTGAGAGCTGCTCCTTCTGTATTCCTACCAGGGCATCCAGGAGGTGAGAGAGGCCACAGGCCATATAGCAGTATCATCACATACAAACCTACATCTGTTTCAGGAAGAGTTTCAGGATTACAACTAATTATTAAAGATATGCAGACAGCTTAGCAGGGAATTTACAGGTGAATGTGGAGCACCCTGGACTTCTTCCCCTTGGAAGGAGATGCCACACTGCTGACACTGGATTGTGGTGCCAAGTAGCAGCAGAGCCCAACGCAAGACCTATCCTGAAGCATTTGTTTTCTCCAGAATTGGAACTGAGCCTGAACTGAAACTTGAAAATTTTCTTGAAATGTGAGTCGAAGGAGCGTCTGTCACAGCTGAGCACCATCACTAAAGCAAAACCCCACGGTGCTCAGACTTCCTGCAGAGAGGGGAATTTAAATCAGCATAATTTGCATGCCAGCTTACCAGAAAGAAGACATGAGATGTGCAGGTTCGTGTATTTATTAACCACTTCTCACTGTCTTCCACTTCAAAATCTTTTCTGCCACATCTTCTGGATGGTTGTCACATGAGACATACCACCAACAGGGAGTTTATGTCAGTGCCTGCAGCCCTACTCTGGGTCTATTCACCTTCTCTATCTGGAATAGCCTTCCTCTTGAAGGTGGTATACTTTTGTTTTGCTCTATTTTGCTGTTGCTTGCAAAGCACCTGGTGTTGCAGGACATCACACAGGCCCTGTGATCCTGGCTCCTGCTTGCTTGCTTGCTGCCTTGGTGGGCAACAATGGGAAGCTGTGCCTGTGGGTCAGCCTGGAACAGGCAGGATCAGACCTAGCTCCTCATTCCTCTCCCAGCCTCCCCAGGGGACACTGAAGGCTCCCCAGAGGAACCCAGTTATTGTTCCAGGATTTTTTTTTTTCCCAGTGAAAGTGTTTTGCAGCAGGGCACACCCTGGGAGCAGCCTCTGATTTGCCCTGTGCTAGGTAATGCATGTGAGCAGAAAAATGATGGTATGAGACATCCCTTTGCTATCGAGAGAGCTTACCAGGAAAAAACCCCCCATCTGTGCTTGAGCCACCTGAACCATGCAAACCACAGAGTAAACAGCCTGTGACAGGTCTAACCAGGCTGGGGGTCCTGGGAGCTCACAGCCTACCTCAGCCTACAAAAAGCCCAAAGGTTAATTATGGGTGTAAAGACCAAACACCTGCAGCGACTGTCCCCCCTCCTCTTCTATTCATGTCTGTCTTTCCCAGCAGAAAGAAAGAAAGAGAACTGAATTACAAATTGCCTTTTTGTGGTTTTATTTTTCCACTGCACTGACCCAGTTACAATGATCTTTTGGATTGCAATTTAAGGTAGGGCCGACAGCTAGAACAAAGTAACATAACAAAGCCCCCTGGAGATGCACAGCTCTGCGCTCTTCAAGCAGATGCTGCAATGACATGTTGGAAATGAGTACCAGGGAGAAATCAGTAGCTCACTGACTGCCAGCCACCAGCCACAGCCACCTCTGGGTTGTATGTAGCAGGTCTCAGCCTTGATAGCTGAATTTTGCAATGACATGATGGGAATGAGCCCCGACATTTCAATTTATTGAGGAGTTTCTGAAGCAGTGGACTTGGCTGTGCTCTGTTAACAGTTGGACGCTATGATCATAAAGGTCTCTTCCAGCCTAAACGAGTCTACGATTCTCTGGACACAAAAGATGGAAAGATTACCCCCTAACCTGTGCTTTCTGAACACCAACATTTCTAAATAGATGTAAACAACTGCTTTCAATTGTTTTGACCAGGTTCTGAAGCTCTGGAAATATTTGCTGCAAATGTTCGCTTCAGCACCAAGAGCAGGTGAAAGGATCAAAAGCAGCTGGAGCCAGAGGGTGCCACAAACAGACATGTAGCTGCAAACACCTTTGCCACCTTTAAAAGTTGCTACCTACATTAAATTGTCTTTGCTAATGAATTTGCTAACTCCATTAATCCTAGCATGGGCTGGGGAGGCAAACTGCATGCTGCATAAGTTTGTGCCCTGAATAATTCCAGGGAAGGTGCTTTGAGTCAGCAAGCAATGAGCATCCAGAGGGAAACCAGAGTATGAACATTGGCCACTTCCCCATGGGGAAGGTTCGTCTCCATCCAGCTACTGCTGTGATAAGAGCTTTGGCTTTGTGAGGTGACTTCTGGGTTACATGACCAAGGGGTCTAGAGGAAAGGTCTGGGCTAGCTGAAGGTCTCTGGCACCAACAATGTATTGTCCCTGGGCTTCATTCCCAGCCACTAGCACGGGCGGGCTGGTGCAGAACATGTTGAATACTTTAGATGCATGTATCTTGCATCAAGCCAATCAAACTCAGCTGCCTTTTGTGGTGGCAGACTGACTAGAAAAGCAATCTGCAGCTGGAAAAAATATTTTCTTGTTTACCGTGGCATAATGATCTGCTTTGCAGGCCAACAGCAATGAGCATCGTGCCTAAACTCACAGGTAATAAAAGAAGTTGCAGGCAGAGATTAATCAGTTGCTGCAGAAGGTGCAAATATCTTAAGACTCCAAACTACTATTAAAGGCAGGTAGTTTTCCTTTGAAGTTGCTAGATAATTTAAGAGACACATTTCATTTTTTCTCATGAATCTTTTGGAAGATATGTCGCTTGCATATTACAATATTTTTACATGGGCACACTAGAGAGTCTGTATCTTGCTAAAAATGAGATCTCAGTGACTCTAGTACATCAAAGGATTTAATCAGCACAGTGCCATAGAGAAGCTGAAGAACTAATGTAAGCTAAATGTAAATTTGTAAAATGGAAATAGCAAAATAATTCAAATCAGCGACATCAGTTTCTTTGAGGTTTGTTCATCTTCCGGCCAGAGTTGTTTCAAAGAGTTGAGGTTTTCATTAAAGGAAGAAGAAGAAGAAGGAAAGAGTCACAGTTCTACTTCAGAGCTGTTTCAAATCAGTTTTCCTATCTTTCCAGGCTACGGAGCCTCCTTACTGACTGACTAACCATCTGGCTGAAGATGGCAGTTGCAAGCATAGTGAGTATACAGCTATGTTACTGTTCATCTCTCTTTTCCTTTCTACCCTCTTTGCCTCCATCAGTTTTCTGCCTTTCTCAAGCCAGTGGTGCCATCTTACCATGGTAGTAACACAAAGCCGCCTTCCCCACCTCTTTCCAGGTTTGGCATTTTTGCATTTTATCATGTATTTGAAGCTGCCAAGCCAACCGTGTTTCAAGTGATCTGACAGAGATGATGCTTTCACCACCTGCCATTTTAATAACTGAAGTTGGCCGCAGGTGGTGAACTGCTCTTTTGTAAAGTGCTTGTTACTCAACGGGTCATTTTTGTAAGTCTCTGCTGTGCTGTACACTTCAAGCAGTCTGAAATGTGCTCTTTTGCGGGAAGCCTTTGCCCTTTCCCATTTAAATGGAATATATTGAGCATTTTCAACTGTGTCTAGGGGAGACGGGCAAATTTATGCTTTACTGATCCACCTCTCAACAGAAATTTACCAAATGTCCTGTTGCAGGTCACCCACACTAGCAAGACCAGCCTGGATTACTACAGGAATGACAGCATGGTGCTATCCCTATGTGGAAACCCAGTGAACAACACAGACTTCATGTGTGACAAAAGGCAGGTCAGGCAGTTCATTCAAGCCTTCCTACCAGTGTGTTTCTGGCTCATCTTCTCTGTGGGCACAGTGGGAAATACCTTGGTCGTGATCGTCTATTGCAAATACCACTTCAGGAGGAGCGTGACGGATCGGTACCTGTTGCACCTAGCCATTGCAGACCTGCTCCTCCTTTTCACCCTCCCCTTCTGGGCCAAGGCTGCTTCCGATGGCTGGGTCTTCAAGGACTTCATGTGCAAAGTTGTCAACAGTACGTACAAGATCAACTTCTACGGCTGCAGCTTCTTTCTGACCTGCATCAGCTTTGACAGGTACATCACTATTGTCCAGGCGATAAAAGCTAAAGCTTCTAAGCGACGGCGGCTCCTGCGCAGCAAACTCCTGTGCTTGGCTGTCTGGCTGACGTCTGTCAGCCTGTGCATCCCAGAAATTATATACAGCCAAAGCACACAGGTGGGTGACATAACAGTTTGCAAAATTACATACCCACCAAACGTCACCATGATCTTCACAGTTACTGTCCTGGCCTTGAAAGTCACAATTGGGTTCTTCCTCCCGCTCCTTGTCATGGTTATTTGTTACACCCTTATCATCAACACCCTGCTACAAACCAAAAGATCCCAAAAGCAGAAGTCACTGAAGATCATCACCATGATCATCACTGCTTTCCTCCTCTCTCAGTTCCCATACAATATTGTTTTGCTGGTCAAAGCAATCAATACCTATACCAGGGCAGCATGCAATTGTCAGGCTGCCAACCAGCTGGACATTGGGCTGCAGGTCACCCAGAGCATCGCCTTCCTGCACAGCTGCCTCAACCCCTTCCTCTACGTCTTTGCTGGTGTGAGGTTCAGGATGGCGCTGGGCAGGATGATGCAGAGCAGTGGCTGCTGCCAAAGGAAGGGCCAAGAGCAGTTCTCCTCTGCCTGCAACAGCCAGGAGCCCAGCTCCAGCTGCTCCATTGCCATGCTGGGGAGGCAGCGGGTGAAGAACTCTCTGATCCTCAGCACTCAGTTGACCTCCTCTGTTATGTCCCCTCCTTGCCAAGGCCTCTCGTAAGTTAGTCCCCACCTTCTCCTCTTCAGTGGAGCTCCAAACTGTATACCTGTCCCAGAGGAGCAGGAAGGTTTGGGAGCCCCATCTTTGACGTGCAGGACCCAACGAGGGCTTGCTGGCTGAAAGGACAGACCTTAGGCAAAGGGCAGCAAAAATGGAACCAGACTTGCTATAAGCAGAACTGACAGAGGACAAAAGCTATTTTTGTGACAGCGGTAAATAACCAGCCTGTCTGCAGCTCAGACCACAGCCTGAAATAACAAATCTCACAGGGAAGTGATAAACCCAGCTACAGCAGCAACAGAGACAGGTGAAGCAGGATGGACCACTCGTCCTGTCCATTGGAAGCAGCAGGAGATGGTTCAGCCCACATGTGCTGTCATGCCAGGGTCTCCGGTGGAGGTGGCTGGACTTGGGAACCCGGCCAGACTCCAACACCAGAGCCCCTCACCTGCAAAGGGGAACAGACTTTAGCTCAGGCACTGGCTTATTGCAACAGGCAAATGCTGCTCTCTGTGCCTGTGCAAATGCAACTCTGGCTGCACAGGTGGTTCTTGTAAAGAAAAGCCAGTCATCTATAATGTGGTCACTGCAGAATGTGGTCTGTCTTTCTCCTATAATTTAGCTGTGTGATGTAAGGTGAAATTGGGTACAATTTATTTGCTATGGCTCCTATTTTGATACTGGAAACTTCACAATAAAAATTCAAGGGCATCAGAAACACTGAGTTGTCTGTCCCGGGGATAGTTGCAGTGTGGTGCTGTAGTAAACCAGAACACAAAAGCCAAACCCATGGTTCAACACACTGTTGTTGTTGACACTGTTATGTGCCAATATTTTTGTTAAAGGTGAGAATTTAGCCTGGGGCCAGTAAGAGGGAGATTAACTATGTGTGAAACCTAATGCAATTTGGAATGAGACTTCAGGTTGGTGGAGGCAGCACTTCCCAAAGTGTTGTGCTGCAATGCACCCCACAGCTTCTGTGGGGCTTTCAGCATGCTGGTGTTGGTGCCCTAACACTGCCCGAAAACCACAGGGCATTGTGTGGCCATTCCCCCTCTTTCATCCCCTTGCAGGGACGTGGCATTGCCTATCCTGCCTGACTGCAGCCTGCACCTTCCAGTCTTCAATTGCAAGTTGTAGTGCTCAGGAGACTGTTTTAAATAATCTCATTTAAGCTGGCTTGCCTTTTGGTAATTATTTCTTCAAGGAAAAAGAAGTGTTTTCCTTGTGCATTTATTATTAAAGCATGTCGATAAACAAGTGCTTTCTGCAAAGTTTGGTGCTGCTTTTCTAGCTAATAGGCTACACCTGGACACATGGAGTCCTAGTTTCATATATATATATTAGGATTTGGGGGGTTTTATTTTTTTACCTTGTCCTTAGGCAAAAAATAAATGGTCAAAGATGTACATATTTTTTACTAGATAAGTAAAAGAAGGGTTTGGGGTTTTTTTGCAATTTGTGTCAAGCTCAATACAAATAGAAGGTGAAATTCTGTTAAAGAAAGGCTCTGCCACATACACCAGGGGGATGAACTGGTTGCCCACACATCCTTCCTGAGTTCGGATCTGTATGCATAACCTGTTTTCAATGACAGGATTTACCCCTCTCAAAAAACACCAAATGAAAACTTTGCTACCAGGGTTTACTTCACATACATAATCCTTGGGGTGTGGAAACCACAGCTGAGAATGCTGCAGGCACCAGAGTGGATTTAGGCTCTCGAGGAAAGGAGTAGGGTGCGGTTTTGGGAGGAAGGAATATGCTGGGGCCAGATGCTTTCCCTCAGCACTCCAGGGCTGGGGGTGAGGGTGCTCCTACCCAGAAGGTCCTTCTGGCCCCAAAAAGAGCTCTTGAGTTATATAAAGAAACAAGCATGCAAACCTTAGCTACTGCCAACCCATGGTCCTGCCTGGCAGCCTCAAGCTCCTCTTGCCTGCACAGCATCTCACCAGCCCCAGTCACTTTGAGCCATCAGGACACAGTGGTATTTCTTCTAGCTCGAGGACTGGCTCACTTAGTACTTAACTCTGCAGTTGCTCTGTTGTACTGTACTGACATGGCCTTTCTCCACCAGTATGACAAACTATTTTCTATTTCCCTTATTTTGTAAAATTTTTTCCCACTTAGATCGTACAATCATCAGATTTATCTTCCACACAAAGCTATCTCTACAAGGCAGAACAGGGACACATATTCTTAATGGTAAAGAATTTTATTTTTTAATTCCTGAGGTTAAAAAAGAGGGGGGAAAAAAAGCATCAAGAAACATTCCAGTACACAACTGTCTACATCTCTGTAACTGTACAGACACTGGTATACATAATTTTTACCATATCTGGAGCAGAAAGTTTGATGATGTGAACCAGGTTTGCAATTCTTTGGCAGTTAAGACCAAAAGATGCTTCTGAACAAGTTACAACCTCAGTGATTGAGCATAATTAAAACTGTAGTGCAATTTCAATTTTAGGAAATGAACAAAGTCAGGCTTTTGTAGCTTTGCTGTTCTGTAGCATGGAACAGTTTTGTGCAATACATCTCTGTTACTTTTCATAAAGCAACACTGAGTAACTTTGAGTAAAGGAACACTGTCATTTTCTTTAAAAAAAACTACATTCTTTCCTTCACATAAAATTCTGCATAACAATCAATCTTACCTCCATACCTCCTTACCCTTTCCAGCACCCAGGAAAAACACATGGTGGCTTATGCTGACCACTATGTACAATCTCTGTCCCATGATTGTGACAATCTATTAAATTAATTTCATGATCATTTTTAAATATTTCTTTTCTCTTAATTGCAAAAAAAAATAATAAAAAATTCAACAAATCACCTGAGCACCTGTAAATAAACCTATCTGTCAGCATTGCTGGCACAGCTGACATGAACAAGTGCTTCACGAACGGAGGTATAAAATGCTTGAATAAAATAATCTCTTGTACAAACCTGCACTTGTGCAAAGTCCTTTACTGGGCTTCCATGGCTCCAGTCATAAACTGCCTGGGATGTTCATACAAAAGTTCAACAAATCACCTGAGCACCTGTAAATAAACCTATCTGTCAGCATTGCTGGCACAGCTGACATGAACAAGTGCTTCACGAACGGAGGTATAAAATGCTTGAATAAAATAATCTCTTGTACAAACCTGCACTTGTGCAAAGTCCTTTACTGGGCTTCCATGGCTCCAGTCATAAACTGCCTGGGATGTTCATACAAAAGAGCAGTACTAATGTGAGGGTATTTTCTGTCTTCTCTGCACTGTCTCTGAGGCAGAAAAGACTAGACCTCCGGGATTTCCGTTCTTGAGCAGCTGCTTTGAACAGCTGCACTCCTGCCTACTTGTTGTACCTTACCAGTCTGAGTATTTAATAATCTGAAATTTCTGCTCTTTAAATACTCTCCTTGGTTAGAAGCAAACCTCTTCTTGTCATCTTTAAACTCCAGGTTCTGGCTTCCACTCTTAGTCCTCTTTCAGAGAGAGAAAAAAGCCATATAACTACTCACGAGGGGCAGCAAAACCTGAAGAAAAGGTACCATAAAGATACAAATGCTAAATGAAAACAGTCCAGTGACTTTATTCTCCTCTCAAACATATGCTTCAGCCAGTCTTAGGACTGCCTACATGGGACCTGCAGGGAAACATCTGGCTTACAAGATGGAGACAATTACTGTAAGTTACATAAACAGCCGCTTAAAAATATTTGTTATTAGGATGAAAAAAATGTTAAGAACTGGATGTGGGAAAGGAAACAAAGAGGCAAGTCTGTCAAATAATTTTGAATAGAGAGACTTCAAACAGTTTTGAGCAAATATGTCATATTTTGGCCTAAGATACTTGACAGTGTCCCTTTACCTTACATTTGGCATTTTAAGAAAGGTATCCCAGTAAGATTAGTATTCTAAGTAAAACAACAGCAAAATGCTTTTAAAAACCACACCTAAAAGCGTAAATGAAAACTGCAGCAGACTTCAGTAACAGCTCAGTGAAATTGCATAGCGTATGGTACACAGTACTCCATTTTTAAGCAATAAATAATCTCTTCCTGCCTAATTAAATATAAAACATAGCTTCAACACTGAAATGTGCTGTAATTCGTGAACCGATCAGTGTGCTGTTTATTGCCTATGTCCATCTCATTTTCATGCACAGAGCCAGATAAGGGTTTAACTGCACTGCAGCTCTCAGGAGGAGGAGTAAACCAGCTGGCACCTCCCACTCACCCCTCTGCCTGGCAGAGGCTGGAGGGCACACCACCCATACAGGGAAGAAGGTGGCTGAGGGGAAGGAAATGCCATTGATGAGCTAGACAGCTAAAATCTAGGTGCTCCATGAAAAGCAGTCATTACTTCACAATCTTTTTCAAGATGACTGTATTTATATTTTGCTAACAACTGGAATGAACGATGAGCAACCTTTAGCTTTATCTGTAGTATTCTTTACTTTCCTGGGATCAGAAATTTCCATCTCCTTCAGCTGCTACTATGTACATGTCTAACACTTGTTTTGTGATCTCCATCTTTTAAACAACCAGTTTTTTTGGTGTAGGAGATTACTTATGGGTAATGTACTGGACCAGCAACACAAACACCAGCGGGACTCTCCTGACTTTCTTCCCCAGCTGAGCTGATCTCTCCAGCTCTCTGTTTTCACACTTAGAAGTTTGTCCCTTTCCCATTCCCTAAACCATTTGGTTCAGCTTGTGCTTGTTCTTTTTTCTTCTTTCCACTTCTTTTCTCTCTCCCACCAACAACCCCTGCATACCAGCTACAGCTGGCCACCAAGTCTCTACAGGGTTCCTGACAGGCTGTGCTGGTCCTCTACCAACTGTTCACTAAAACCTTCCAGGTCTGAGGTTCCCTTGGGAGAAAAGTAACCTGATAAATCAGACACACCTACAATGAGAAGGGCTGGCTGGGAGGAAAGCTTTACTCCTGCCAAATGTTTTGCCATTCCATCACTGGGAGAAAGCTTTTCTCCTGCCAAATGTTTTGCCAT